TGATCGCATGCACCTATAGTTCCAGCTACTTGGGAGGCTGAGACAGAAGGATCGCCTGAGCCCAGCAGGTTGAGGCTGTGGTGGCCATAAGCTTGCCACTGCACTCCAAGCCTGGGCAACAGAGTGAGACTCTGATTCACACACACAAAAATAAATAATCCAGGGTATTAAAAGATTCCCTGTAGCTGTGTCTCAAAGCCTTTCGCATAGGCTCTGAGTGCCTGGTCCAGCCTGTGCTGTGACTGAGTTTTGCCCTCTCCCCAGTAAAGCACACAGGATGTTATGCCTTTCCTCCCAGTCTGCCTTTGGGATGCACCTCCTCCCACAGAGGTCTGGGGCCTGAGAAGGCCCGTCCTTCACCCTTGCTGAAGCCACCTCCTCTCTGTTCTCTCCCTGGCTGCAGCACCCTGTCCACGTGCTGCCATGCGATGGTGGCGCTCATCTACCCCTTCACCTGGCAGCACACCTACATCCCAGTGCTGCCGCCGGCCATGATCGACATAGTGTGCTCGCCCACGCCCTTCCTCATCGGTCTCCTGTCCAGCTCGCTGCTGCTGCTCAGGGAGCTGCCACTGGAAGAGGTGAGCTGCCACCTGTCCCAGCTACCCCTTCCTCCCTTCCCCCCAGGTGCTGACCAAAGCCCTGCAAGCGCGAGGAGTAGTTCAGGGGAGTGGCTCAGAACCCGGGAGCTGGGAGCCACCAGGGCTTTGTCTGTCAAGGGTCCTGCTTGGATTCTGCCACAGTCCCCCTTGGTGCCTGCAAACACTGTTTTCTATTCCTAATGAAATGCCTGTTGTGAGCCTCCATTGAGAAAGAAGGTAATTAATAACTTAGCCATGTCAAAGCTCTGAATTCATAAAAACCATAAATAGTCCTGCCCTCCCTCCTGACCCACTGCCCCCGCTAAAGGAAGAAGCCAGTGAAGAGCCCGCAAGAGATGAAATTGAGGCTTGGATGGTAACAATGACAAAGGCTGTGCCCCTGGGTGAGGTCCTTTTTCATAGCTGTTGAAAAGACAACCACCAAAATGTATGTATGTTTTATGTTTTTATTTACTGAGTTGGTATCTCACTCTGTCGCCCAGGCAGGAGTGCAGGAGCACAATCCCAGCTTATCACTACCTGGACCTCTTGGGCTTGGGCAGTCCTTCCACTTCAGCCTCCAGATAGGTGGGACTACAGGTGTGCGCGACCACGTCCAGCTAATTTTCTGACTTTTTGTAGAGACAAGGGCTCACTGTGTTGCCCAGGCTGGTCTCAAACTACCAGGCTCTACTGATTCTCCCACCTCAGCCTCCCAAATTGCTAGGATTTCAGGAGTGAGCCACCAGCCTGACCCAAAATGTTTTTAATTGTCAAGTTCTGGGTTTTCAGTTTAGAATCATGGTGGGGAAAGTCCTACTTGGTGCTTCTGGAGTTATTAAGTCCCAGTTCCTTCCTCTTACTAGTTTCTGGCCCTGTGTTCTGGGGACTTCCATCATTACAGGAGGGAACCACAGGAACTAAATTACATTGCTTGACCGGGCATGGTGGCTCACGCCTATAATCCCAGCATTTTGGGAGGCCGAGACGAGAGGATTGCCTGAGACCAGGGATTCAAGACCAGCCTGGGTAACTTGGCGAGACCTCATCTCTACAATAAATCAAAAAAATTAGCTGGGTATGGTGGCGCGTGCCTGTAGTTCCAGCTACTTGGAAGGCTGAGGCGGAAGGATCACCTGATCCCAGCAGGTTGAAACTGTGGTGGCCGTGAGTGTGCCACTGCACTCCAATCTGGGTGACAGAGTGAGACCCCAACTCAAAAAAAAGGTTAACCGCCAGCCTCGGGGCTTCCAGTGCAGGGTGTAGATTGTGAGCAGTTTATCTGATACCCTATGCTCCCGCCAGTGGCTTGGTTCAGCCCTAGAGGGTATAAGTGAGAAGAATGGAAAGAGGCCCTTAGTGGGATCTCTGGGATATGGTAGTGCCACTACTTTCAGCTGTTTCAACAGTGGCAGTGGTCTCCAGGTCCCTAGCTCTTCCTCCAGCATAGCCAGTGTCCTTGACTGGACCTGAGTGAGGGTCTCACCCCTGGGGTTGCACTTGTGTGACCCTGCAAATGAACTTTGCACTCCAGGCACCTCACTTGTCTCCCCTTGGTCCTGGCCCAGGGCCTTGTTCCCACTCTGAGGCAGAAGGGGAGGTGCTTCATCCTGAAAGCCTTCGTCTATGAAAGCCACCACCTTCAGCCTGATCTTGTCTCCAGGCTTGTTTCTCTCCTCTTCTTCCTGAAGAAAAAGGACCAGGTTAAGTGAGCAGCAGAGGGGAAGGAGGAGGGAGAAGCTCTGGGTGGGAACAAGTAGCAGCCACTAGCATCTCTTGCCCACCTCAGTGACCCACATCCTAAAAACCAGTCCAAGAAGCTCTGACTTAGCCAGTCAGAGAGCAGGACAAGGAGTCCAGCCCACGGTACACATGTGTCCCAGCCTTCAGTCTGAGTGTTGAAAGCTTGCAATTCAGGAAAGCCTCTGCCCCACCCCCTCTTCATCGTCTGTGGCTGTAGTGGCAATGACAGGAAACCACAAATGGTTCACCCCAGCTGCCTCTTTAGGAGCCAAGAGGGAAGCAGGCTAAACGTCCTTCTCTATCCCAAAAACCCTGAAGACAACAACAGTCCCTTCTCCCCTTGTCTTGTAGGTCCTTGTGGTCGACCTTGTCAACAGTCGGTTCCTCAGGCAGGTGAGTAAGAAGGCTAGTTATAGCTGGGTGCAGTGGCTCACGCCGGCTGAAATCCCAGCACTCTGGGAGGCTAAGGTGGGAGAATGACTTGAGTCCAAATGTCCCAGACCAGCCTAGGCAACAAAGTGAGACCTTGTCTCTACAGAAAATAAAAAATTATCTAGGCATGGTGGTACACACCTATAGTCCCAGTTATTCGGGTGGCTGAGATGGAAAGATCACTTGAGCCTAGGAGGTCAAGGCTGCAATGAGCCATGATTATGCCACTGCGCTTCAGCATAGGTGACAGAGTGAGACCCTGACTCAAAAAAAAGGCCAGTTTCAATCTTTGTCTTTCCCTCTTTGCTGTTCAGGCTCAGCTCTCCAGCCCTGGAAAGTCTCCTTGGTACACCTGGGATTGCAGGCAGACGGTGCCGTGCCCAGGCCAAGGCCAGACTGAGAACAAGACCGAAAGCCTGCCATAGAGGAGGGGTGGACAAAGGCTTGATTTCCATGTGTTCTGACAATTTAAAAAATTGAATCTTTCTTTGTATTGCTTATAACTAGAGGCCCTATCTTTTTCAATATACTCTAAGGAATACTTAATGGTAGAGTTCATGATATAACATTAAGTGGAAAGAATTGGGACACAAAATTTTTGTTATTTTGCTTTTTAGAGTTGGGATATCACTGTCACCGAGGCTGAAGTACAGTGGCACGATCACAGCTCACTATTGCCTCAACCACCTAAGCTCATGCGATCCTTCTACCTCAGCCTCCTGAGTTGCTGGGATTATAGGTGTGTGCCACCATACCCAGATAATTTTTTTTTGTTTTTGTAGAGACTAGGTCTTGCTGTGTTGCCCAGGCTGATCTCGAACTTCTGGGCTCAAGCAGTCCTCTCACCTCACCTTGGCCTTGCAATGTGCTGGGATTACAGACCTGAGCCACCATGCTGGGCCTAATCTTATTTTTGTAAAAGGAGAGAAAAAAAGAAAGGAAAAAAATATATATTTGTGTGTGTGTGCATTGTAAAAGAAAAAAAAAGAAAACACACCAAAACATTAATGCTGCTTATCTTAGGGAGGGAAGCTGACAGGGAGACAGATCATAAGTTATTTTGAATTGTTTGAATACTTTTTTTTTTTTTTTGAGTTGGAGTTTCACTCTGTCACCCACGGCCACTGTAGCCCCCACCTCCTGGGCTCAAGTAATCTTTCCACCTCAGCCTTCCAAGTAGCTGGAACCACAGGCACACACCACCACACTCGGCTAATTTTTTGATTTATTGTAGAGATGAGGTCTCACCAAGCTCAGGTAATCCTCTCATCTCAGTCTCCCAAAGTCCTGGGATTATAGGCATGAGCCACCATGCCTGGCCTGTTTTAATACTTTCATGTATTTTCTTGTGTGTGTGTGTGTGTGTGTGTGTGTGTGTGTTGGAGTCTCACTCTGTCACCCAAGCTGGACTGCAGTGACATGCTCACAGACAATGCAGCCTCGACCTTGCTGGGCTCAGGAATCCTTCCACCTAGCCTTCTAAGTAGCTGGAACCACAGGTGCATGCTACCACACCCAGCTTATTTTTTTATTTATTATAGAGATGAGATCTCACCAAGTTGGTCTCAAACCTCTGAGCTTGGGCAATCCTCTCACCTTGGCCCCCCAATGTGCTGGGATTATAGGCATGAGTCTCTGTGCCTGGCCATTGCTAGCACTTTCTTTTTTTTTCTTTTTTTTTTTTTTTTTTTTTAATTAATCAGTATTTTTATTATAGTTTTGTGGGGTACAGTTAAGGATTAGGTGTACAATTACGTTTCATTCAGACACCCTGTTGATAAGAGGTGTTTTCCCAGCCCCAGACAGATGCTAGCACTTTCAAAGGTAGTCATATTGCATTTCTTCTTCACAAGGTGCATATTGATGGGCAGTCTGTTTTATAATGGGGAAACAGGCTCACACAGCTTATAAAAAGATCAAGGTTAAAACCTCAGACCTCTGGCTCTCAATTGTTCCTTTCACAAAATTGGGAACTGAGCCAGGCCTGCCCTATGGTATATCCATTGTGTCGTGCAACCAGGACAAAGCCATCGTGTCCAGACACCTACTAGCTGTGTCTGCCTTACAGATGGATGATGAGGACTCCATTCTGCCCCGGAAGCTTCAGGTAGCCCTGGAACACATTCTGGAACAGAGGAGTGAACTGGCCTGTGAGCAGGATGATGGGTCCCCGGACTGCAGGCATGGTAAGTACTCAGCCACCTTCCAGGGCATCTCCCTCACCCATCCTGGGGGTCAGGGAGCAAATAGACGATTCATACATTCCTCTTGGCCCTGGACCAAGTAGGAAAAGGGGAAACATAACAAGAGATACCGGGAGTTCAATCTCTTCATCTGGATTTAATTTTAACAATGAATTGTGGGGAAACGTTTCCCACTTCCCCATTTTGGCCCTAAGATATCTGTTTAAAGGAAGAAAAGAGGCCAGGCACGGTGTCTCGCGCCTATAATCCCAGCATTCTGGGAGGCCAAGGTAAGAGGATTGCCTTACAAGCCTACGAGAGTCCGAGACCAGCCCAGGCAACTTGGCGAGACCTCATCTCTACAATAAATCAAAAAATTAGC